CCCCCCCCCCCCCCAACTATATAGGTAAAATCCTGTTCTCCAGGGGCTTGTCTATGTTGGGAATTGCTGAGGACAGCCGTTCTAAAACAGTTTATTTTTGAAACTGCTATTTCTGCAGAGCCTCTTGGGGGGATGTTATTCCAGAAAGAAGCAGCAGCTTATGTTTTACTAAATGCAATTTTTAGCCTGCTTCACTGAGGCAAAAAATATTCAAATATGAACCCTAAATATCTGGAAACTGTAGGGACACGGGAATTACTTTACCACAGGGAATTATCATTTTCTGTTCAATCTCATGCTTCTTCAATGGGTCTGACCTATCGTTTCCATGAACTTGCACTAGGTGGTACCAAAGCAGAGTATTGAAATGGTATCAGATTTGGGAAACAGCCATCAGAGGTATTTGATAACATGCTCCTAACACCGCAGGCTGGATGTTTGGGGTGATGTTAAACACTCGCCATGTGGCTCTTGCACTAATGCTCATTAAATATTTCAACCTTAGCACCAGAGCTGTCAGCAGCAGGGACAAAACTGAGTTTATGGCTCCAAGGACCAAGAAAATTATATCAGTTAATCAAGCCCATAAACACAACGTGAACACCAGCCCACTTAAGGCATCTCCAAGGAGCCCTAAATACCACGTCTGGCTTATCAGGGGCTTTCACTGGCCAAACAACTGAGTGAGTGGAGTTAATTTCAAGATGTAAAATCAGCAGGACCCGACCCAAAAGCTGAATTATGTGGAAAATTATTTTTAAGTATTGAAGACCTTGTTTCCTCTGTTTTCTCTTAGAGCTGTCAAAGAACAAGGAATTGCTGTGAACTGTGGGAAAATATGAGCTCATGGAAGGGGAAGATATGGAGAGGAAACCCCTTCTTTAAGTCTCACCTGGTATCACGGTGATGGTTTTCAAGGCACGAAGGACACGGAAGGTCCTGAGAGCAGAGATGTTCCCCAGGTCCACGAACTCAGTAATGTAGCTGCAGAAGAGGAGAGGAAAGGGCTTCAAGGACTCTGTCAGGCACCCACCCCCCTGTTTCTCAGTCGTCCTCCCCAGGGTCCCTCACCGGGTGCAGTGGCCAGACCCCCTGTCCTCCCTGCATCCCAGCAAACTCACGCCATGGAGATGACCATGAAGTCCAGCCAATTCCACGGGTCACGCAGGAATGTGAAGCTGTCGATGCAGAAGCCTCTCGACAGTATCTTGATGAGGGACTCGAAGGTGTATATCCCAGTGAAAGTGTATCTGAAATCGGAACAGTGACTCAGGGGATGCTCACTCGGGTCCAAGGGCCAGCTCAGGATGAGGTTTTGTCTACTCCTGCCAGTGGGACCATCTTGGGGAGCTGAGTCTGGGGGCTCATGGTCACGGGCTGCTGTGTTCTTGGGGTGCTTCAGCACTGTGGGAGGTTTTCAACTCACCTCATAAGGTAAGTTGGAACATCTTGAGGTACCAATCCCTTTGGTGACTATTCTGTAACACCTCTGATCCCTGCTGAAGTCTCAACACCACCACTCTCTCTGTGAAACCCTGCCGAGACCCTGTTGTTCAGAACCATAGCAGAAAATGCTGGATTTCCTCCTCCTCACCTGCGGCTGGTGAGGATTTTCCCCTCCTCACCACGCTCTTTGGACTGGTGGATCTGCTCAGCCTCTCCAGACTCTCACTGCTGACCCAACCCAACCCAACCTGCTCTGCAGTGATCTCCTGTTGCAGGGATCCCACCACATTTTGGGCAGCTTGGAAACACTCCCGCTCTTTGCAATGCTAGTGCAGAGCAAAGACATTCCTTTTGGGATCAAGAGGGCCACCAGCATCTCCCAGTGACACCTCTCCTCCTCAGAAGGGTGCCTACAGCCCTCCCAACAGCCTGGGTCCTGTCCCTCCTAAGGATGGCCAAGCTGGGGTGGCCCCCATAGCTGGGGGAGGCCGCGGGAGGCAGGGACTTACTCCACGTTCTTGGACCATGCCGGGGGGTTGCTCATCGTCATAAACACACAGTTGGTTAAAATCGTGATCATGATGACCATGCTGAATAATTTAAAACCTGGTCAAGGAGAAATGCTGTGGCTGTTGCTTAGATTCCCCCTTTCACACAGTTATGAAGCCAAGCAGCCTTAATCCTCTTGTCCTGGCTCCCACCTTGCTCCTATGCCCTGACCTGCTCCTCCTGCAGCTCCCTCCCACCTCACTCTCCTTCTCACAATTTCCCCTTAGTCCTGCTGTTCCCATGCATGGTCCCCACCCCTGACCTCCCTTTCTACTCCACTCCCCAGCTCTGTGGTGCCAGCTCTGCTTCCCTTCCTGTCCCTTGTGCTCCTTCCTCTCCATCACCCCAGGATACAGTTTTCCCTACTTGTCTGATCTCTCTGCCACAAACACCCACTTTTTTCTCCTACCTCATGGCCATCAACCCCTGCTGTCACCAGAGCTCTGCTGGGATCATTTCCCACCCATCCTAGTGCCCCTCTTGCTCTTGGGGTCCTTTATTGTCTTTCCATCTTTGCTTGTGTCACAATAAAAGCCCCATCACTACCCAAGTTGCCTCGTTCCCTGTACCTCACTGTCCTGGTTCCTCTGTCTTCCCTCTCCAAAGCATCCTTTGAGCTCCCCTAATTCACCTGCTTCCCAGAGGTCCCCCTGATCTGTAAACATTTTCCCTCCTTTCCAAGTCTTTCCAGACCTCAGAGACCTTGAACTTCTTCCTAGGAATCTCCACCACTTAAGTTTCTTCCCTTCTCCAACCAAGACTGAGCTCTTGGTGCCACCAAGGTCACCAAGGCCTTCAATCACCCTCTCACTCCTTGGGAAGGGAACAAAGCACTGGGGTAGCTGGGCTGTGGGTCCTGGCTATGGTGGGGGCCATCCTGGGAGATTTGCTCACCACACCATCATGAAATGCCTCTCTCAGCCCTCTCCCAGGGCTGTTTGCACTCTGAGCATCAGGGTTTGACCAGTGGAGCAACATCACAGAAAGCAAGGATATGAATGGATAAGCACTTTGATGGCTCCTCTGCGGATGGGGTGGAAGGGCCCCAGCAGGTAGAGGGCAGGGGTTGCTGAGAAGCGGAAGATGGACTTCCCTTTGTTGAGGACTATGAATGTCTGTGAAGAAAAGAGAGGAGGGAGATGGGTTAGCCCTTCTGAACACCCCTGAAACACCCACGGATCAAGTGCTGCCATTAGAGGTGGGACCTCTATGTGTGCTTTGGACCTCCAAAGTCTTGGGACTTTGCCAAGGAGGAGAAGATACCACAGCAGTCTGGGGCTGTGGATCACCAAGATGGGCTCAGATGAGACTCTGGGCATGGTGGAAGGAATGAGATGTCCAAACTTTAGTCTTTTTCTTTGGACTTGCATCTAATGCCAAGTCTACCCATGGACTAAACTCTGCCCCTCACCTTCTTATCCTTGTAGAAAGGGTCCAGGTCCTCCAAGGGGGTCCCGATGAGCTCCAGTGGTGGGTCACCATAGATGAGAGGCAGGTTCTTGCCAGCTTCCAGGTCACTTCTGGGCTTGATCTCCTCTTCCTCGGGCAGCTCCACTTGCTGCCGCTTTATCTTGAGCGCCTTTGCCTCGGCGATGCGCTGCTTGATGGCAGCCAACGAGGCGGGGGTGAAGGGGCGAAGGTGCTCGGGGCCCGGAATGTGTAGCAGGCCGGCCATCCTCTCATTCTGCTCCCAGGACGCCTGCGCCCAGCCTGCTGGGGAGAGGGGGGGCTGAGAAGGCAATACCAGCTGATGCCATTTTGGGGCATTTTTGCTCAACCCTTGAAGTCAGGTGATGGCAAGATCTCAGTGAGTTTTTGCAAACTGGTTTACTGCAGAAATACTGAACTTACAAGAAAGATTATTATGCATGCATTTCTTGTAGAAGGAGCACTCCATGTGCTCCTTCTCCTCCCAGACCCCCATTCAGCCTCTGATCAAAAAGCACCATCAGGTTGAGAACCATATGAGCTGAGCAGTTGGTGTCCCTGGCACCAGCTGGCTGTTGTTAGACGTGTAATTTCACAACACAGACAAGGTTGTTCAACAAAACAAACCACCTTTGGCATTAGCGGCACCACTCCAGCTGTCTCCCCTTTGCAATATGCTGCAAGCCATCAGCAGCTTTCCTCCTGCACCTTGTGCAAGCAACGTGCAGTGCCCAGAGCAAGGGGTTCCTCAACCAGAGGAGCTCAGTCCTGCAGTGACCATTTCACAGCACCTGTCCACAGCAAACAGGAGTAACCTGCAGTGCCAGGCGGCTCTGCTCAGGAGCGGAAGGGGTTAAGGTCTTATCTTGAGCCAAAAAGCAAGGCAATAATGGCAGTTTCTAATGTTACAGCAATCAGGACGACTCTCCAGACAGGACTAGGATGGGCCATTTGCAGAGATAAGGGTGGCTCCACTGAGCAGCAGAACAACAAGAAGGGTTAGAGACAGCAAAGTGGGGACAAGATGGGTGGTCCCACTAGGAGGAACAGGCTGCCATGCCCCGAGCGAGGCCAAAAAGCCTGGCTAAGGCTTCCTAGACACTAGAAAAGCTCTTGCTTTGAGTCACCTTGCCTTGGCTTCACTCGATATCTGACCTGTAAACACTGGCTTGTGTCAGATGAGCCCAATATACCGCAACACTCGATCCCGCTTTTCAGGGATACTGGGATAGATGCACCTCTGGGCCTCACCCTCCACAGAATGAGCATTCCCCTTGGAAAACAGCAACTCCTCCATGCACCAAAACTTTACATGGTGCTGCTGAGTGCCTGCCCCCAAAAAATCTTTAGGATCAATAATCCTCACAGACCCAGCCCTGACATGCTGAGAGCTGGAAACCTTCAACCCTTTGTAATTAAGGAGAACTGGACATTTATAGCTCTGATGGGAAGAGAGACTCTGGGTGCATGATGGTATCGACACGTTCCTATGGTGATTATAAAACCAAGTGATAAAAGCAATGGCAAAGGGGGGTATCGATTTCCAGCAGCGCAGGATAACTGCATTTTAGAAATCACCGTGCTCCCTCGCTACCTCTGCTGAATTGAGTCTCTGTGTGCAAAATGGATTTTTTCTGTCAAGGGCAGGCAACCCCCACAGCAGCACAGAATTGTGTGGGCATCCCTGATCACCCCCATTGCATCCAGCCCCAGGGATGAAGCAGGGGCCAGCCCCTGGCTGCAACATCTCTTGGGCAGAGACCTCCTTCATCACAGTGTTCGAAGAGCCCCTTCATGGCTCCAGTGACTGGGCTTTGATGCACATTCACAATACAGCTGGTAGAGGGATGGGAGCAACTCGCTGCCTTCTGGAACAGGGCAACATTTAAAAAAAGTCAAGTGGCAAGAGCACCAATTTTTGTATTTAAACCTGTTTTAGAAGAGGGAGAGTTTTGTCCTTGCTGAACAGGGTTATCTAATAGGATAAACTGAGTCACATCACTGCAAAGTGGAGTCTGCCACTGCCACAGCCCAGCTCAGGGGCCCGAACCACTGCAAACCAGCCACCTCAGAGGGGCACAGTCCCATCTCCCTGCTGGCCCTCTGGATCTTCATCAAAGCAAGCAAAGAGGGTATTTTTGCCACCACATGTCTCTGCAAGGAGACAGTGCCCACAGCAGCGGGTCAGCAGAGCACCACTGTTCCTTCTTCTCATCCAGAATTATTCCGGATTTACACCCATTTCATGCTCTACTTGAGCAGATCTGGAAACCTGCCCTTTGCATTCCCTCAATACCAGTGGCCCCAAAGCTCAAGCCAAAAGCACGGGGCTGCGTGTGGCTCTATTGCTCCGAGTCCCATTGGGGATGCACTGATACATGCTCAAGCAGCACCCACAGCACCCATGGGGACACCAACCCACGCCGTCTCCTGGGGACTCTGAGGACTCACAGGAGCTCGTTGGTCTAGGCAGCTTCAATTTCCCTGGAAATAGGGTTTTGCAGAGCTGTTAGGCAAGCCTGCATTACAGGCCATGCCAGTGCTCTGTAGGGCTCCAGCCCCTGCAGCAGCACACTGCTCTCCAAGGCTTCGAGGTGCTGCATGGTCCATGTCTTCCCTGGACCCCCCCCTCTGGGTGCTGCCCCTCAAAACCTCCAGCAATGCCCCCTCCCTGCTTGCTGCGCTCAGCCTGTGGTCTCGGCGGAGGTGGTTGTGCCTCCAGCTGCCACCAGCGATCACCGCAGGAGTCAGGTTTCTGCAGCCCCATGACTCTGCTCATTCCTCTCCCGGCAGGAACAAGTGCAGGAGGGGAAGCTCGAGTGAGCAGCACCAGCTTTCCTTTTAGCCTGTGCCTCCTCTTCCTCTCGCTGGGCTGAAGCCATCGTGCGGTGCCATGCTGACCGGGCTGCCAACGGAGCACCCCAGGCACAGCATTTGCAGCCACGGGGTGAGGAGATGCTGGGGCTTGGCAGCACTGCCCAAGGCTGAGCAGGGGGTCCTCAAAGGGGATGTTGCCCTGGGCATGGAAATGCTTTGTGGCTTTTTGGAGTCTTTGGCAGCATCTGGTCCTGCTCTCGCCTATTTCTGGCCACCCAGAGACAGTGGGGTGACTCCGGGGAGCAGGATCAGAACTTAAGCATATGTCCAGCTCCCACAGATGGCAGCCCTGGAGACATCAGCATCTCTGGTTGCTCACTGCTTCCCAAAAGAGAAGGAACAAGGAGCCAACCACAGGCTCTGTGTGGGGCTTGGCTCATCATACCCCTCTCCCCCAGTAAGCCCAGTTCCCACACCAGTCTGTGTGGGAGACAGTGTGGGGTAGACAGCCGGGCCCCACCACCCCAAGTGAAGAGGCTCATCCTGGACCAGCCACACCCAGCCACCAGGATGGGGTGAGCAGCCCCTCTGCTCCTGGCCTGGCACATCCTGGCACATTTATAGCAGCTGCTATAAATAACTGAGATCAAACTCCTTGAGCCTCTGATAGGTAAAAGCAGTTTGGGTGCAGCAACAGGTGCTGCCCCGGGCACAAATCACCCCCGTGGTCCCATAGGGCTCAGTCCCAGCTCGCCCCAGGACTGTGTCTCCCCAGAGTCCCTTGTTAAACACAGACTCTCCCTATGGGCTTTTCTGCTAAGAAATCAGTCACTTAAAATGTCTCTACAAAGCTCTGAGCTGCTATTTATTGCCTTCTTAAATTTCGGACTTCCAGCTAAGCTGGATAACTCCTTTTTACTGTGACACAGTTGAGCTGTAGGTTTTGGACACACTGCTCATGTCCTACAACATGGCATGTGATGGATGAGCATCTCATCCCCCAGTTCAGCATCAGCAATTACCAGCAGGCAATGGGGAGCAGGTCTGGGCTCAGGAGCACATGGCCTAACCTGACAGAAATTCAGTTTCCTCTGATATTTTTTGCCACTCTGAGGCTGCACAAATGAATGACCCTCCAAAATAACAGCAGTAGTTTGGAAGCTACCAGAGATGCTGCGTAATAAGTTCTGTATAATCAGGACAGACAGAAGGGTGACAGGGTCCTGTCTGAGACTGCTTGGAGACCCACCCCATCCAGAATTGGCACTTCATCCCTGCAGAGAAAATAACCTGCTGGGGCTGAAGAAGTGGGGAAGGACTTTCTTGGCTGCTGTGTGCAGACATGTGGCTGTGGGGGTGACAGGGTGGCCAGTGGCCTCTTTCGATCTTGCTCACCCATGTGGGTGCTGGGCTCAGCCCATCACCTAGGCTCCAGGGCTCTTCTCCTCCCTTCCTGGGACAATGCTCTTGGAGAGCCTCTATAAACCCAGAGTCCCCCAAGCCTTTGGTTAACCCTGGCCTGGTAATCTCAGGGAGATGCACTTGTTGCCCCCACCATACTCAGGGCTGGGTTAACAAAGACAGGTATGACTGGGGTGTCTCAAGGGGAGACACGCTGCTCCTGAGAGATCTCAGCTCTACAGATACCCAGAACATGGGACGGAGTCAGCGGTACCCTCCGAGTACCTGCAGTATTGCAGCAAGACCACTGAACACATCTTGAGGAGCTGCCCTTGCCCATCTGCAAGCTGGCCCTCAAGATTTGTCCTCTTAACAGGAGACAGTCTGGAAAGCCCCCAGAAGAGACCGATATGGACACAAGTCCAAGACAGAAAACAACCTGAATGGTCATCAGCAAGTGTAAATCGGCTTCACTCACCAAGTAACAGCAGAGCCAGGTGATGCTCAGCCAAGCGCTCGCAGCGCACAGCACACGGGGACTCCCTGCGCAGGGATTAGCTTGGAAACAAGGAGCTCGTGCACCAAAGCCGGGAAGCAGCCAGCTCTGGGACGGCCGGTGCCAGGGAGCCAGCCCACGGCTGGCCCACATCCTTGTAGCTCCAAGAAGTTAACACAGGGGGAGATAAACCAGCACCCAGCACTTCAGGAGCTCTAGAAAGCGGATGCTGTTGCACACACAGTCCAAACCCATCGCAGCACACGGTAAGCACAATCCTGTAGCACCTCCTCCTTACTACCTTCACCCCAAATCCTCCCGGGACACAAACCAGCACCCAGAGGCTGACTGCACACAGGACAACCCAACCCTCTCCATCTCTTGCTTATTTATCCCCATGAGGACACCCAGGGTGGGGCGGGATGGTGCAATGAGACCAGCTGGGACCACGGGGTTTGGGGATGAGTCACAACTCCGTGATGGATTCGCAGTCATGTGCACCCCAAGTGCTGTTACAAACACTGTCCATCCTC